GCCCCCCCAGGCCCCATCACAGCCCCCCCAGGCCCCCGGCGGTGGGTCCTTACCAGCTCTAACCAGGGCACGATGCAGTTGCTGTGGAAGAAGTGGTTGCAGGGCAACTGCCGGACCTGCTCGGCCACCGTGTAGTCCTCCTTGCACACAGGACACTCCAAACCCGTATCTGGAAGAGGGGGGGGAAGGCAAAAAATGGGAATACAACCCCCCCATCTCTTCATGGTAACGATACAAAACTGGGAGGGATGGGGGTGACACCCCAGAAAGGTTGTGCCACCATCCAGAGAGACCCGGACAGGCTGGAGAGTTGGGGGGAGAAGAACCTGATGAAGTTCAACCAGGACAAGTGTCGGGTCCTACCCCTGGGGAGGAAGAACCCCCCAAAACCAGGAGAGGGCTGGAGAGGGTCCAGCAAAGGGCTACGAGGATGCTGAGGGGCCTGGAGCATCTCTCTGGGGAGGAAAGGCTGAGGGACTTGGGGCTTTGGAGTCTGGAGAAGAGAAGGCTGAGGGGGGATCTGATCAAGGCCTGGAAATCCTTCCAGGGTGGGGGTCAGGAGGATGGGGCCAGGCTTTTTCCAGTGGTGCCCAGGGACAGGACAAGAGGGAATGGGCACAGACTTGAATATAAGAAGTTCCATCTCAACATGAGGAGAACTTCTTCCCTGTGAGGGTGGCAGAGCCCTGGCAGAGGCTGCCCAGAGAGGTGGTGGGGTCTCCTTCTCTGGAGACATCCCAAACCCACCTGGACACGTTCCTGTGGGACCTGCTCTGGGTGACCCTGCTCTGGGCAGGGGGTGGGAGGAGATGATCTCCAGAGGTCCCTTCCCACCCCAAATCATTCTGTGATTCCATCTACAACCCACCGGGGGCCAGGCAGGGGTGTTCAGCACCCAGGTCCCAAAAAAATCCCCCCCTTCCCTGCGTACGAGCGAAATAAACCAAACTAGGGCTATTTTGAGTCCCACCAAAACTCAGCCTCAACTTCAGTCCCACCACAAGTCCTCTCACCCAGATTGGGGTGGGTTTGGGAGACCAGGGGGGGCTATTTCCATCTCACCCCCTCCTCCTGCTGTGCCATCGACCACCAGAAAGGGCAAAAAAAGCCTGATTTCCTTCGTGGTCGGCCCAAAATGTGCAGCTAGATGTCCTGGCCACCGGGCCACCGAGCTCCTGGCCACACCAAGGGGTGAGACCGAGCATGAGAGGATGGAAATTCAGCTGCTTCTTGGCTCCTCCAGACAAGGAAAGGAGAGGAGACGCGGGTTTTATATAAAAAGCACCGGATAAAAATATCCCTCGTGGAAACGGCTTTTTCTCATCAAAAATTGTTTGTCTCGAACCCGGAGCGTTTTAGTTCCCGGTAACGGGGGAGTCGGGAGGGAAAGGGATCCTTCGAGCAGCCACCCCTCGGAAAACCCGAGGAGAAAAAGCCCCAGGATGAGTAAATTGCAAAAACAGAAACTTTGGGAGAAGCCCGAGGAGCTGCGACGTCCACACCACGTTTCCAGAGGAGTTGGGCAGGAATTCGCTCCGAGTCTCATCGTTGTTCCCCCCCCTCCAGCCCCACCAGGAGCCAATTTGGAAGGGAAGAAAGCCCTGGCTCTAATGAGACCATAAACAGCCCAAACAGAAGATTTTTGGGAGAAGGTAAAGCCATCAGGGCGTTGAGAGGCCAAAAAGGCGGCGCTCGGGCGCTGCAGAAGGAAGAAGGTCTTCTCTGATGGCCTGAATCGGTGGAGATTGGAGAGTCCCTGGAGCAGCGACCACAAAAGATGGTGGTAGAAAAGCTCAGGGTCTCCTGAGGTGGAAGAACTGAGTGTTTCCAGCCTGAATCTGGGCAGGGATGGAGGATGGAGCAGGCTCTGACCCTCCCTCATCACAGAGAAGAGCTTGAGAGGGAGGTGGATGAAGCTCAGGAGATGAAGGACATTGGTCACCAGCACTGATTTTCACCTACCAACTTGTTCCTGAGTTACTGTCACCGTTGGGAGAGATGAGATCTTCTCCTTGTCGGCTGGAGGTGGCCCCGTGTTCTCCAGCTGCCCCAGGAGCTGTGGAGAAGAAGCCAAGCCGTGCTCAGGAGACACCCAGAGCACTACGTCCCCACCAGCAGAGAGCCCAGCACGAGCAGCTCAGCCCAGTCTCTCCCCAGACCACTCCAGTTGCGCAGCCCTAGGAGCAAACTGGGGCCATTTCATCCCAGTTTAGACACTCAGTGGGCTGGTGACCATTCCTGGCCACCACAGCAGCACTTTTGGTGCTCAAACCTTCCTTTCACACCCTTCAACCCCATTTCTAACATCGTTGCCCTCCAGGTATTTTCTCTTTACACCAACAGTCGGGGACCGAAGGGCCTGGGTGGGAAGGTCCCTTCCATCTCAAAGGTCCCTTCCATCTCAAAGGGCCCTTCCATCTCAAAGGGCCCTTACAACCATGAATATTTTGTGATTCTGTGAAGGGAGATGTGGCCACGGACACGGGAGAAGGTGCCAAGCTCCTCCTGGAGGATTTTGAACTGAAAGGGAGTCAATGGAGACGTTCTGAGAACAGGAAGAACCTTGTCCTGAAGAAACAAGGGAGATGGAGCACCTTCTGCATCTCCCAGGACCTCAGCAGGGCGTCAGGAGGAACGGGGTGACCTCCCAGGGCTACAAAGAGAAGGGACTCAGCCCGTCCTGAGCTCCTGGGAGGCTCCTCCATCTCCTGTGTGGAGCCTCAGACGTTTAACACGGGCTGAGCTCGAGCTGCAGCGCCGGTGCTGCCACCACCTCTTTTCCTACTGTCACACTTCGATGACTCACGGGGATTTTAGACTGTTAAGACCTTGATTCACCCCCAAATCAGCTCCAACTGGTTCCAGAGAAGCGTTTGGAGGAGCCTCCTTTAACTCTGGGGGCCACGTGAAGACACCCGGGGTGACAGGAAACCCTTGGGATGGACAGAGCAGCCACTCTGCTGCCACTCTGCACCACCCCAGACCCCGGGGGGGACCCCGATGGTGCCACCCTCCCAACCCAAATCCCACCCGTGACACCAGCTCCCCGGCAGGGCCCTCGTTGGGGCTCGGTGTGGGGTGGGAGGAGGAAGGTGCCATCTCAGAGCAGCCCACGTGGGCCACAGGTTCATTTTGGGAAGTGGTGAGTAAGGCAGGGGAGGAGGGGAGGGCCCTGGGAAGCCGGGGGCTACTTCTGACTGGCAGCAGATGGCTCTGCCGGGCGCTTCAGCTCGTCAACAGCAGCCAAATTAGCTCACGGTAACGAACCCCGTCTGCTCTTCCCATCCCCACCACGCCAGCACCCTGGAAGGGCTGTTTGCAGAGGGAGGCCGGACACCCCCGGATCCTCAAGGGATCAGATCATAATTTTCAGGGAACGGGAACAGATTCGGCTCATCCCTCCCCAAACCACAGAGGGAAACAGCTCCTGGCTCCAAAAAGCTGAATTTGGGAGAAATCTGGGGCTGACGCTGAGGTTTTTCATCTTTTGGCTTCTGCTGAGCCTGTCGCAAGGAACCTGCGAGGCTCGTACCGCCCCCGGGGGTGACAAAGAGGGGAATTATTTCCTGTATTTCCACAGAATAAGATCCAACTCCTGCTCCTGGAGCCTCTGAAGGGGCAGGGAAGGAGCAGCCACCAAACCAGACACCCATGGCCTGTTCCTAAGTCCTCACCCGAAACCCAGGGCTCGTCTCCAGCCGTGGGACGGACCAAAATGGGGCACAAAAACTTGTAGGCACAGATTAAAGGGCAGGACCAGCCAGTTTGGGACTTTACTCCACCCAGGTGGGTCTTACCTGGGTGACAATAGCATCAAGGCCGCTCTGTCCCCAGGCGTAGTCCCCGGGATTGGAGTGCAACATCCCACTCCTGCGGACGGGAGCAGAGAGTCAAGGAAACCATTTCACTCCCCTCCCTCCCCCCACAACTTAAATCAGCCCCCGAGGGTTTACAGAATCCTCCCCAAAAAGACCACACTGTGGGGACGGAGCTCTCGGGGACCAGATGGTGGCTGTTCACTGGTGGGGACAGTCGTGCCCAAAGCCAGGGTGTAAACCACACTCTAACTACTCACCAGGAAAAAGGGTGCTGTGAGCCAGGAATCGCTGAGTTTGCAAAAAACCCCGCAAAGATCTGCTGTATTATTCTAAAGAGGGAGGAAATCGAAAGAGAAAAGGGGAGAAAAAGAAAAAAAAAGGGACAAGTTGAGCAAACAAATACGTGGTGGCAGTTTAGTAAGAAGGGGTGGCACAAGGACAAAATGCTGCTGGGATTGATGGTGGCCACCTGGCTGGAAGCCTCATGGCCAGGTGGGGAGAAGGGCGAGCCCCCAGACAGAGCTCTGGGAGGAAGAGGAAGGAGGGATGGCTCACTCGAAGAGGAAGGAGGGATGGCTCACTCCTCGGAGTGTGGGAGGGCTGCGAGGAGAGGGAGAGGAAATGACTGAGTTTCCCAAGCACTGACTCGTTTCCCTGCGGCGAGGGGTTGGCACCGTTACAGGCAAAACCCACCTTTTCTCACCATTTGGCTTCAATTACCCCCCTCCCAGTGAGGGGGAGGAAAGGAAAGAGCATCCCATACAAAAACCTGCAGTTTTGGGGTCCGAGGGTCACCCCATAAGCGCCAGGATCTCATTTCATCAGGTTTCTTTCCCAAATCCCGTATTTTTCCACCGATGAAGGAGGGAAACACCTCCAGGGGGGAATTTTAGGCACTCACCCTTCGATGGCAGGAGACCTGTCGGGGCGGGAGCTGCCCCGGGATCTGTATCTCCTCGTCATGGGCAATCGGGGGGGTCGGCTCGGTCCCCAGAGGTCGGCGTGGGCTTGGTGGCCCCTCTCGTTGTCCCTGCTGTCTTGATCCAGTGAGCTGCTACTTAGGAAGGGTCTGAAGTCGGGAAAGAACATCGTGTGGTCCAAATGGTCCCAAAGCTGGAGGTGGAGGGGAGAAAAAAGGGGGGAGACACATCGCCGTAATCCCGGGGACTCCGCTGCTGACACGGGGTGTGGGGGGGGGGGCAGGGAAGTCCACCTCGACGGAAGCAACGGAGCAAATTCCTACGGTTACCATGGCTCCCAGAAGAAAAGTCTGGCAAAAACCGCTTAATTATAGCCCAAGCTAATCAGCTCTACCACCCCCGGGAAGACCAACACGTCGGCTTTTTCCTGCTACGTACAGATCCCAACAACAGCTATTTTATTAAGCGCCCCCCCTCCCCTCCCAGGGCACTGCGAGGGTTGGAATTTTGGGAGGGATAATGCCAGACACCCAGGCCCCACATCCATGGGCTCATTGGGGTGCTCTGGGTCCTCACAGCCACGGGGGGCAAATGGATGTGGCTGAAAGAACCCAAATACAGCCCCAAGAAAGAGGGTTCCTGTCTCTTGGGCTCCATGGACCCGACACGGTAGGACAGAGCAGCCTGAAACGGCCAATAATTAAAGGTCTCACACATTTTGGGTCTCTCCACACAATTAAAGCTACTTCCTGGCCCTACAGCCCATCCACCTGCTGCTGGTGGAGCAAAACCCCCACCAGCTCCTTGACCAAGTCAAACTGTCAGCCCTGAGCCTCCCCGAGGAGGAGCAGGGACACAAATCAAGAGCTGCTGAGGGGGTCACCAATAGATTTCTGTGATCCTGGCCACACACCCCACTGCGGAGAAACCATGGGGTGCAGGAAAACACCCAGGAACCAGGAGCTTCCTCATCCTGAGCCACAGCTCAGAGCCAAGAGCCCCCTCGGCCACCCTCACCTGCAAAAACCCATTTGGTTTTATTCCTTCCACAATTCGCCCACGGCTTAAACTAACAGCTGAGGGAGGGCACTGGAGAATTATCACATGGGTTTAAGAAATAAAAAAAATAATTGTAGGACAACAAAACAAGGAGCATGAGACAAGAAACCCCCCGTGTGCCACATGCTGCTCACACTGGATGTGCCCCAGGCCTGAAAAAAGTGCTATCAGGAGGAGCAGTGCCCTCGGATTCACTGCAGGAACGAAGCACCACAGAGCAGAACACCAGGGCTGCTCTCCTCTTATCCGTACGAGACCCTCAGCACGCGTTACGACAGGATCAGAGTGGCTTCATTTCCATTTCACAGCAAATTAGCTCGCTTTACATGTCTCTTCCATCCCCTGCTTCGAGCTGGTATCGGAGGGAAGGGAGAAGTCAAGTTCACGACCTCTTCTCCGCATTAATACCCTGCAGACGAGGCTTCTGCTTGTTCTCCTGCTGGTTATGATCAAGATACAGCTCTGCCCGCCTGCAGCCAGGCTGCCGAGAGAAGACTTTCATTTATTATTAATCCTAAAAGCCATTTAAATTTACATAGCGCCTTTCTTTCATGCGGCAGCATCCCAAAGCTCTTTGTAAAGCCTCACGTGGGCTATAAGCCGAGATCACTTTATCTCCCCGAAACAGGGGCACGTTCTGGGCAACAGGGCTGGGGAGGAGCGATATAAAAGGGTTTGTCGGGGAGATAAATGGATCCAGCTGAAGAGGAGAAGGGAAACGTGGAGGGAAACAGGAGGGATCCAGACCCAAAAAAGCAAAGCCGTAGAGGAATTTCAGCTATTTGGTGCCCCCTCTTTCTGGCTGCTGAAGGTGGTGGCTTTACTGCAGCGGGTGAAGGGGGGGCTCAGCAACAGGGCAGCCCCCCCAAATCTACCCAGGGATGACCACGGCCGAGGAGCTGCAACTCAAAGCATCAGGAAGTTCTTCTGGCAGGACTGAGGAACCTAAATCTCCTCAATAACCTGATCTCTGAGCAAGGCTGACGGGCAGAGGAGACGCAGAGAAATTTTATTCCCATCTGTTTTCTGAAGGGAAATAAAGCCCCAAGGAACAGAGCCTGAGATCAGAGCCTTCCCTGGGCTCTGGAAGAGGAACTGCCAGCACAGCCAGAGCCCGGGGTGACTCAGGAGAGGCCACAGCACAAGTTGAGGGTGAGTATTTGCACAGTTTGACTCAGGCTGTTTGAGACTTTAGGTAATGGGGTAAGAAGACGCTTCCAGCCCCTGCCACCCCTGCTCCGAGCTCCACGCAGCTGAATTACAGGACATGGACTTTTTAGAAAGTCGTAGTTCTGGTAAAACTGGGAGCAGCAACGAGCAGGGAGGAAAGGGCAGTCGGGCAACACCCTCCCTGGATGGCGAAGCATCACTGACACCCATCCAGCATCTGCCAGCACCAGGGGCCAGGGTGTCTTTCCTTCTTTTCCTGCCCTGCCCAGTGAGCAAACTGCTGGCAGCGCCCAGAGCCTCCTCAAAACCTGCCAAGTTCCTGAAACTCTCCTTTTTCCAAGGCAGCAAGTGAAGATGCCTTCACGGACTGCACCTGGAGTTGAGACTGAAAACC